TAATAATAATAATAATAATAATAATAATAATAATAATAATAATAATAATAATAATAATATTATCGTAGGAAACAAAAGATGAAATTACAAATATCAAATTATAAAAAATGTATAATGAATAAACAATTATGATAATGATTAATAACCAAGATCAGATGCTTTTTGAAACATTCCGATCAATGAATCCATAGTTTCTTCTCCAGTAGGTATAATTTGATCAGATGGTAATAAAAATGCATAACGACCTTTATCACGAAGTTCATATGTATAAGTTATGCGAGGACCAATAGTTGCACGTACCCAATCCATTGAACCACCTGATGCTGGATCTAAAAATATTAACAATAAAATTAAACAAAATATTTCAATGAGCTATAAAAAATAGTTCAAATAATTTATACTGAACATTTAACTTTAGATTCACATATGTTTTTTGTTTTTTTAGTATTAATAATAATTACTTAAACCTACAAAAATTATAATTATTTATTTATTAATACGATGACTGATTAAACCATGAATGGACAGAACAATTTATATAATTTATTTTTTTATATTACTTCTGTTAAATCTCTCTAACCAAATTAAATATTAAAAAAAAAAAAAAAAATTAGAAATATTTCAATGGGGTATGCAAAATAATTCCAATATTTTCCTTTAACATTTAACTTTAGATGCACATATGTTTTTTTTATAAAAATAATAATTACTAAAACCTATCACACACACACACACACACACACACACACACACACAATTATTTTTATTTATTTATTAATACCATAAAACTAATCAAACTATGAATGAATAGAACAATTTGTATAATATATTTTTCTTTTTATTGTTGTTTTTGTTTTTGTTAATATTAGTTATGTTAGATGAAATATACTTACAAATAACATCGACTATATTACCAACAGTATAATTGGTACCGTATCTCATAGCCAAAGCCTTGACGGAAAACCTTCCTATTTCCATAAGGTCATCGTAATTGTCTATTCTCTCATTACTATGACCAAACGGTATAAGCAACAATTGACTATAACTATGGAATGCTAAATATGCCTTCATTTTTTCTGGTATATTATTTATAAACGTTGACATTGATTTACTTTCAATTTCGGAAAATGCACTTTGTCCAGCATAAATTTCTGAACATGGATTTGAGCTTGAACCAATTTCTACAATAATTAATTTAAAAGTAAAAAAATAAAAAACATTTAATTTTTATTCTAATTGAATTAAAAATATGGACAATTTTTTTGTTTGTTGAAATATAATAAACAAATTTAATAATGAATTTATTTATTTTACCTGACCAATGTGTATCCCAATTACGATTAAGATCAACACCTTTGCATCTCCACGTGGATCGTTTCAAATTCTTTCTCCATAATCGATTCTAAAAAGAAAAAATTAAATTAAAACAAGTATCGATATCGATATCATTTTTTTTTTATTCAAGTACTTTGTACTTGGGTATTCACATTTCTCGAATTTCAAATCTTATCTGATTACTTGTCTGTAATTAATTAAATTCATTTTACTCTGACAATTTTTACTTTTCCATTTTATCGAATTTCATCGTATAAATAAATATTTGTTTTATAATATATAAGGGGTGCCCCGCCATTAGTTGCTGTGGCTCACAATCAGTCCGATATACACGTCTTTAAGTCAACGAATCAGAGACCCTATAGGAGGGACGCGCCATGTACATTGCTGGGGGACAGAAACTCGTGTAGTCACATGATTGCGTGCGAAATATTCAAACATTGAAATAATTATGAAATAATGAATTGCATCAAATACAGAAAAAAATGAACTATATTTAATGATAATTAAAAATTTATATTAAAATAGAATAGGTTACACTAAAAAATTATTATAAATTCAATAACAAAGATTCAATTAAGTTTGATTTGATAAAAGGCAATAAGTATGTAAACAAACGATAAGTTATAGGTTAGTTTTGTACATTTCTACTTGTTATTATTAGATGAGTAAATTAAACTTACACTTATAGAAAACTACTAAAAAAAAAAAAACAATTAAACATAAATATCACAATAAAAACTATAAGTATTCCAAACTTAAACTAACCACAGCCATTAATACATACTAAAGATAAACATGGCTGCGCGATGCAACGGAAGCTGTCCCCCCACATTTTCAACCCTGCAATCTACATGGCGCGTTCCTCCTATAGGGTCTCTACAACGAATTATCTTATACCGCCATCTGTTAGAATCTTATCGAACTAACAGAGATAATCATGACTTCTTGTTAATAAACAAATAATTCACAATAAAATAATATTGCGATTATAAATTGAGATATAAACTATCCTATTTTTTAAGTTGGATGAAACTGCACACAGTGTGCAAAATTTTATTAAAATCAGTTCAGTAGTTTAGAAGTCCATTGCGGACAAACAACGTAACGCGTAATTTATACATATTAAGATATATATTTTTAATAGGGTCATTAAACAACAACGGCAACTGCAACGATAACAAAAAGAAAAAAATAAATTGTATAAAAGAAAATTGTTTAATAAATATTGACCTTGGTGTTTATTAATAAAACAAAATGTTGATCGAGAAACGAATAATTAAAATGGTTACGTATTTAATTACGCATATAAGATAATAAATAAAAAAGAAAAGATAATTATTCTGTTATCGATGAATCTCTATCGATCGATGGATGGATCGATCAATCGATGAATTAATCTTCGCATATCATTATAATGTAAAAATATCGGCAAAGATTTTAATCTTTTTAGATCTATCGACATCAATTTCATGATTTTATATAAAACATTTGCTTATACAAGTTTATCTGTAACTAGTAGTAAAAGCGAAAAGAGGGTGTTTCTACATGAAAAAATAAATCCAGAATATTAAAGAAAGATTTTTCGTTTGAGGCTTTGTTTTCAAGAAAATTGACTTTAAATTTTCGCAAAGTAAGTGTGCACTTGATCATACCTCGTTATACCGAACCTACGAACTTTTTATATAAGAAAAACCTATATACATATATAGGTTAATTTTGAAAAGTTCGTAGGGTATTTCTGAAAAGTTCATAGATATTGTATGAATATTATTTTTGAATATTGTATGAATATTATTTTTGAATATTCTATGATTATTATTTCTGAATATTATATGAATATTATTTTAATCTTATATTTATATTACATTATATTATATATTACAATTAAATTATTATAATAAAATATTATATTAATTAATTTCTATTAAGGAAAAACAAATAAAAGAAAAAAAAAAGTGAAACGTTTCCTGAGCCATGTCAAAAAAAAAAGAAAATTCTACAAATGCTACAAAACAAACAAAGATAACCACTGGTCTACCTGCTTATAAAGAAAATAAAGAAATTGTCTTTTTTTTTATTTACCGTTGAATGTGTATACTCGTACCCATCTGGATTGAAAACAGGAAATATGTACCAAACATGGGATTCAGCTAAATTTCTAACAACAGGATCTTTGCTAAATAATAATTCATTTGCAATATATGTAGTAGTGGCCACTGAAATCCATTCTCTTGCATGTATACCACTTTCCAAAAATATCGATGTATTTTTATTCGAATTGAATTGTAGTTTTAAACCTTTTATAGGTGTTCCAAGTGTACTTATTCCAGCATCTATAGTGTTAACAATTTTTGGATAATCTTGTGCTAGACTTTCCATCCATTGATATATCTAAAATGATCAATATTATAGTATAATAATTATTATTAATATTATGAATTTGTTTTATCATTAATTAATTGATTATAAATAATTAATTGATAATAAAAATATCATTTTTACGATAATTATTATTCTTATGATTAATATTATTATTATTATTATTATTGTTATTATTATTATTATTATTATTATTATTATTATTATTATTATTATCATCTGTTATTATATTTCTTTTACAATTAAATTTTTTTAAACAATTTTTTTATTTCAATATTTCATAGTTTTTTTAAATTATTATTCCCATATGCAGGTTAATTCAAATTAAATAAAGTGTTGCAATATTAAATTTATTTTATATTTATTTTATATTTATATTAATATAATTTATATTATATAAATTAAAAATGTGTGTGTGTGTGATATATTTCTCTCACCACGTTCAATCTGTGATAAGCCGTCCAATCAAAATTTGATCTTCCATCGACATTAGGATTTTCTTCGTCAATGTAACGTTGAAGATTATCCATCATTAACGCCACAGACATTTTATTATTATTAACAACATTTTCAAATTCTTGTATTTTTTCAGGAGCAACAACTAACAACGACGAATCGTTCATTCTCGGATAATTCAAAAATTGATAACCCTCGTCATCTTCCATATCAGTCAAAATATTTAAACTATTTTTATTATCAATCGATATTTTATAAACTTTAAAACCATCGTAACGTACTTTATCCGATACAACGATACACACGATAATTAAAACAAAATATAATTGAATAATCATCTTCATTTTTATAAACAAATTGAAACAATTTTTAGTTTTTTATTTTTCTTTCCTTTTCTTTTTCTTTTTCTTTTCTTTTCTTTTCTTTTCTTTTTTATTTTTATTTGTAATAAATAATTTATCGTTAATTAATTGTTAATGCAATTTATCAAATAATTTCATTTCATTTAAATCGAACATAATTGAAAATTGATACGAAAGTTTGATTATTTTCCTTTTCTATTCTTTCATTTTATTTTATTTTATTTTATTTTTATTTTTATTTTTATTTTCACTTTCACGAAAAATACACATTGGGGGAATGCAACACGTTGTAGAAAGATAATCCTCTGTCAGAAGTCCTCGCGCGAACACGGCTTTATATACCCCAGGACAATTCCACTCTTCCCTAACACATCAAATGCAATAGAAAAGAAAAGAAGAAAAAGAAAAAGAAAAAAAAAGAGGTAAAAGATAAAAAGAAAAAAAAAATGAGAATGAAGAGGAGCTTCTATCGCATACGTGAGATACCTATTAATAAAAACAACAACAACAAAATAAAAGGAAGATAAAAACTAAACATATCTCCGAGTATAGCAATCGACCATACTTTGTATGCGGAATGGGTTATGCATCGGATGAAAGAGGGGGATTTAACGGGGGAAATAGCAAGCTTGCACTGCAAACCCAGAAGACCATGGACTGGTCGTAGACCTCCGATGATATTTTTCTTCCATTTTCTTTCTTTTTTTTTTTTTTTTTATTTAGAAAGGTACCATTAAAACAACAAATTCCAACAACATCTTTTCAAATTTTACAAACACTTCTGTTAGATTTTTACGATGTTGAATTATTGTTATCGATCCTATCGACCCTAAAATTTAGGGACTCTGGGAATTTTGAGATTTTATTTGTAAAAGAATTTTATTTTTATAGTACGTGTCTTCTCTCCTAATAATCCTTTCTTGTAATAAATTATATTTCCTTGTTTTATTTTATTTAAATATTTTTATCTTTGTTTGAGATTGTGTGTGTATAAAATGCATTGTATTTTCTATGGAATCCTATTAAATTTGATGAAATTCAATGTTTAACACGTTAAGCGCCACGTCAAACATTAATGACTGACACTGAACTTCACATTCAGGCCATGTCAGTCATTTGTGTCTGACGGTCAAGTTTTTTGTAATGCCGTTTAACTTTGCGTGGCTTGACAAAGATTTCCGTAGAATTCGCGTGGCGTTCAAGGTAAATATACACCTTAGATGGTTGTATTGTTTTCCATAGAATTATTCATTGTTTTCTTTTATCTGATTATACTATTTTTACTGATTATATTATTTAACGATTTATAAGCCTGTTATTTTCTATTTTTTCTTTTTCTATTGAAAAAACTTGTCTTCGTTATTTTCCAATAACAAAAAAAAAAAAAGAAAATTAATCTCTTTATAATGAGATAGTAGAAATTTTGTTTAAACAATCGATAATTATTATCGCGTGCATGATCGTGTTAAATAACATTCATAATATGAGCTTATTTAAATATTTGTAATTTAATCTCATCAGTGTTCACATGGAATTTCAAATATTTCAAGGATACGCAGGGAATGTGAGACATAAGAAAATATATTTCGAGAAAATAATATGTTTTATAATTAATTATTTTAAATTAACTTATTAATTTAATGTTTAACTGTGATTATTTTTATTTTGTTTGTTTGTTTTGTTTTAATGTATGGATTTTTATGAAAAATTATATTTTGTATTCTAGTGCCCCTGAAACACGATTACCCGTAATACACAATACATCAGAAACACGTTCTGTTAGTAGTCGGTAAAACAATAATCTGCTTTACCGAAACCACAGTTTTCTTTGTTATCGATAATAGATTTATTGTTGACTTTATTTAAGAAAATAAAAATCAAAAAATTAACATTAATTATTAATTAAACAACATTTAAATTACATCAATTATTAATATTTGTTTTGTAATAAAATATTATTTATTTTTATGTATCAAATCAATTTAACATAAATATATCAATTATTTACTTAATAATAATAATTAAAAAGATTATTTCAGAATTTTCTAATGATTTTTTGTTTGTTTGTTTATGTATCTAGGCGTTTGATAAATAATAAATTATTGACGTAACATGACGCTTTGTTTTCTTATTTGCACAACTGACATGAATATTAAGAGATTTCATTATTTCTATTGTGAATTTATTTTTAATTTAAATATAAATGCTACATCTCCTTAGTAAATTATGAAATTTAATATTACGAGATTTAATTTAAATTTTTAATAACATGATTTTATTCTCATATTGAAAGTTTAGATTATTATTAATATCATTAATTAATTCATCATTAAATAATATACAAAAAATTGAACATAAATCGATGAACAAATATTATAAAAAATTAATTTTTTAAAAAAGTAACAATAAAATGTAATAATCAATTTGCATAAAAAAAATTATATTTATTAAAAATTTATTTAGACAGTGTATATAGTGCGAACATTTATTACATAAATAAATAGATAAATACAAATAAAGATAAAGATAAAAAAAAAATAGTCAAAATAGAAACGTATTTGAGTAAAAATTTGTATCGATTTCTCTTCCACAGGATGTTCAAGGGCGCATGATAAAAAAAAGGTGCCACGGGTACATTTGTGCTCATAATTATGAAAGTGGTCTAAGTCATATATCTTTTGTTTCGAGACATTTAAAGATTTATACTTGAACACTATATGAATTCTATACAATATTGAAATAACAAACATTATTTAACGATTCATTTTTGATAATATCGTGAAAATTACATTGAATTTATTTAGTTTATAATGATGTAATGCGTAATAACTGATAAACTCACTTTTTATTAATTTTGACTTAGATCACTTTCTTAATTTTGTGTACATTTATTTATTTCAATTCATTTATGAACTACAATTTTCTTTTTTTTTTCTTTTTTTTTATCTCAAATGTTTTATTATAAATTACTACCGTTTTATATTTCGCGTATGTATCAGAACAGAATAACAAATGTATCTTTTGTTCTACCTGAGAAAATATTTCTTGATTGCGTAACCTGTATAATATCTAAACGAGTTATCACAGTAGCTTTATCTTTATTTTTCTCATTGCGAAATAGAAAAAAAGCGTTTGCTAATGTCACATTTAATTTTTTTTTTATTAACTATTACAAATACCTTTTATATATTCTCTTTCTCGTTTTGCAAACATACACACACATATATATATATATATATATATATATATATATATATATATATATATATTGTTTCGTATAAAAATTGCAAACAAAAAATGTTCACATTCACTTCCTAAATGTATAAATTAATTACGTCAGTTAGATATATGTAAACAAGTCAGTGATAGTAAAAAAAAAAAAAATTAAAACTAAATCAAAATTTTAAATTAATATATTCTTTAGTAATGCATAAAAGAAAAAGAAAAAAATATACATTGAATGTATAATATCAAGTATATGTGTGTGAACGATTTGAATGGGCTTAAAAGGGTAGTAGTAGTAGTAGTAGTAGTAGTAGTAGTAGTAGTAGTAGTAGTAGTAGTAGTAGTAGTAGTAGTAGTAGTAGNTAGTAGTAGTAGTAGTAGTAGTAGTAGTAGTAGTAGTAGTAGTAGTAGTAGTAGTAGTAGTAGTAGTTCAAGTATATGAATAAGTATTAACGATGACTATAGAAAATACATAGAAAGGAAAAGTAATAAAAAAAATTTTTTTAAAACAATGCATAAATTGAAAGATTTTATTCAATTATAAGTCGCATTAATTTAAATTATTTCAAAATAATTTAAATAATCAAACGCAAGATATTTCAATCAACAATTTTGTAACAATAATTGCAATTTATAATAATTATAAATGTAGATGAATAGAAATAGAAAAAGAAAAAGAAATAGAAAAAGAAAGAGGTTAGAAAAATGGCGGGTAGTGGTGGTGGTAGTGGTGGTGGGGTTGTTGTAATTGAAATTATTTCAAAATAATTTAAATAATCAAACGCAAGATATTTTAATCTTCGTTACAATGTTGTAACAATAATTAAAATAAATAATAATTATGAAAGTAGATGAATATAAAAAGAAAAAGAAAGACGTTAAAAAAATGGCGGGGGATGGTAGTGGTTTGGTGGTGGTTGAAACAGAGGAATATTTCGTCAATGTTAACGAATTGATGACGTTTCTGCTAACATATTTGTTGATCCCTCCCCCTAACTTCCCCTCACCACGATATTTTACAATGCGGCCTTCAACGATGACTCTGACGACACGAGGATAGAGGAGAAGGTAGAAAAGAAGGGGAAACACGAGCGGAGAAGCTCTCTCCTGGTAAACGTAGAATTCAGTCGTGGTTTATCCGCCGAACCGATAAGGTGTTCTTCGAAAAAATTTGAAAAAGTGTAAAAGTAGTATTAAAAGAAACTTTTACCCTTTTTCTCATCCCTTATTCATCATCATCTTCTTCTTATAATTCTCTGTTAATCCTTTTTTTATTTTATAAATTCTAACTTTTAATATCCGTCCATAATACAAATTTTTATCTTTTTGTTATTTATTTCGCGATAATATTGATTATACCTGGGTCCCACACACCCTCTTCACTAACCCCTTTAATTTTTCAAGACGTTAATCCAAGTGAATTTGAAAAAAAAATATATAAAATAGATCGATCATTTGATGTTTCTTCTCGAGAGGGGTAGTTTTTGTTATATCGAAAATATTGTGAATTAAAAAAATAAAAAATAAAATAAAACATAAGAAGTATAAATATTAAAATAATAATAAAATAAATTATTAACAAAAAATATAAGTTGAAAGAGAAAGATATTTGATTAAAATAAAGTAAAGAAAGCTAAAAAATTAAAAAAGAAAAGATGGCTGACAGGATATACAATCCAAATCGAGAATTGGCTCAGAATGCTTACTGTTCAAGTATGGCAGAATACAAGGAAATACATTCTGAGTAAGTAAATGAATAAAAAGATAAAAAGAGAAAGAAATAAATTTATTCTTTTGATCAAAAATCTCATTAGAATAAACCTAAGATTCTTTGGTAAATGATAAAAGGGTTGTCAAGGGTTGAAGAAAAGAAGGGGATGCTAAAGAAACGATCGAACTCGATGGCTCTTATGGATTTTAATGGCGCATGCGCAATTCGATTGTAGGCCACACATTTCTCACTTCTTTCTTTCTTTTTCTTTTTATTTTTGACTTTAATTTTAATTACTTTGATTTTTTTATTATTCCAATACATTTTTAAAGATATTGTCCTTTTTATTATTTATTTGTTATATTTATAAAATCAAATGAAAAAAAGGTAGAATATATAAAATTATTTTGAGTCCAGTAGTATTTCATTTGATTTTCTAATTTTGTATAATTTTATATAACCAATCATTTTAATAACGTTCATATTTTTTGTTTATTATAAAAAAAAGAATATATAAAAATTATTTAAACCAAAAAAATATATAAATAATAGAATATATTGTATTTTTTTTTATCAAAGGGGATAATCGGATTATTCGTTTGGTTCACCCTAATGTAAAAAACAAGTATAACAAAATATTACTTTGTAATTATAATTTGCACGTAAAAAAAAAAGAGATATATAGAAATAGAAACCTATTATCGATCGAATAATGGTATATTTATATACTAGAGTGTCCATTTTTATGTATTAAAAAATTATTTTCATTGTCAATTTTATTATTCATTAAAACTAAATTATCAATAAAATGAATTTCATTAAAAATAAAATTGAATTGAAAAATAGTTTTATTTTACATATATACATAGAATATAATTATATAAATATTAATATATGAATATTTAATATATACAAAATTATATTAGATATATAATAAAATATATAAATAATTTAAATACATAATATATACATATATATTATTTTTTTATATTTATAAAATCAAATGAAAAATCATAATGTATAAAATTATTTTGTGCCCAGTAGTATTTCATTTGATTTTCTAATTTTATATAATATTATATTAATATTAAACAAATTTGATTTGTTTATTTCAGTTCTATAAAAAATCCTGTTAAATTTTGGAAAGAAATAGCTAATAAATTTTATTGGGAAACACCTGCGAGGGATGATAAATTTTTTTCTTATAATTTCGACGTGTCCAAGGGCGACATTTCTATTAAATGGATGGAAGGGGCTAAAACTAATATTAGTTTTAATCTACTCGACAGAAACGTTAACAATGGAAAGGGCAACGAGATAGCATTTTATTGGTAAGATGATGAATTTCATTTATCTTTTATTCTTATTTAAAGGTTATGTTCTTTTTTTTTCTTTTCCTAATAATTATAGGAAAAAAAAAGATTAAAAAAATGAAATGTATTGGGATTTTCATTACATCGATCATTCCCTATTTAACTAATAAAAATTTACAATTACCAATTTTAAATATTACAAATTCATTAAATAATCAAAGTAAAATTCATTTGTTGAAAGTGAAATTATAAAATAATATTTGTTTTAATAATTTGTTAAGTTACACTAACTATATGACACGTGATTTAAAATTGCAAAATTAATTTTATAAAAGAACAAAATTAATTTTCAATGATTTATTCGTAAAACAAAAATACAGTACGAATATAAATTTTAATAACATTGCCAAATTTGAGAATCCCTGTTTCTCAACCACTTACTACATAAAAAGCTCATTGTAATGTTAAGTATACATCTATATTTACATATATATATATATTGAGCGTTAGTAGATGCAAGTCATTCCAATGGTTACACGAAAAGGAAAGTTTATATATTTTTTTTACTTTTAAATTTGTTCTAACAAGTTGAAAGAAAATTTCAACTCAAGAAAAAAAAATACGTCATAAAATTATATTCCAACTTCGTAACGTAAATAAAATAATAATATAATAATAATAATAATAATAATAATAATAATAATAATAATAATAATAATAATAATAATAATAATAA